TCTGGATTTAAATCCAGTTAGAAGAAGGTCTAAAAAAGTATACTTCATTTTCTACAACCATTCACACTCACATTCACACCTCGGGCGACTTAAGAGTGAAAAGCTAGAGTAGTTCTGCATGTTTTAGGACAGTGGGTGGAAAACAGGGTTCCTGGACAAACCCACCCCTCAAGCGCGATGTTACGAGGACACTGCTAATAAAGTTGCATTAACGTCTATTATTATAATCACCAGTTTTTAGACCGGTCGTATGACGCACAAAAGATTGGGGACTGCTGCTTTAAAGGAGCAGACGTCCTGATACACAACATGTGTTGGCGTGAATGACTGGTCAGCCTGTCATATCTGTGTTAATATGGTGGTGTGGATGAATTCACACCTTCTCTGCCATCTGTTCCTGCTGTCGTCCGCCCCCCTCATCTATGTCTCTCCTTTCAAAGGCGTGGTTCCAGAAGGACCACATCTGACCTCTGCTGTTGTTGTTAGCTTCAGTTGTTGTTAGCTTCAGTTGTTGTTAGCTTCAGTTGTTGTTAGCTTCAGTTGTTGTTAGCTTCAGTTGTTGTTAGCTTCAGTTGTTGTTAGCTTCAGTTGTTGTTAGCTTCAGTTGTTGTTAGCTTCAGTTGTCTGCTCGGGTCAAACCTCTGCCTTCAGTCTTGTGTTGTTGCTTTTGGACCAGAGGAGGTGGTCTTGACTTTGGAGTTTTTCTTTGAGCCCTGATAAAAGCAACGCCAGTCAGCTGTCGTGGACATCTTCTAAGATCTATGATGCCTTGACTGTGTCTTGTCGACTGTTTCAGCAGATTCTGCACCTGAGGTTCAGTTTATTCGAATCAGTCGTGTTTTGAGCAGCACTGAAGCAGAGCCGGTTCATTCATTCAATCACAGTTTTTTGCTTATTCATTTGCAGAGTCGTGGTGCAGCTGGGACCAATACCAGCTGTCAACAGGTGGGGGCGGACAACACACCGGACAGTTCAACCCGTCCATGACTTCGGCTCCATTGGACAAAACCCTCCACTCACTCCTAGATGTTTTTGGACGGTAGAGGAAACCGGTTTATTGTCTTGCTGTAAAGACCAGAGCGCCCTCTGCAGGGCTAATTTTAATAAAAAATAAACACCAGGAGTCTAAAGACACCACATGAAGCTCTGGGTTTATTACCTCCTGATTGACTGATTTCACACCAGTACAAATAAAGCTAAAAGGGCAACGTGTTCGGTGCGAAGGCTCCCAGAGAGACGTGGGTAATCAGAGGACATCACTGTCCGCCGCCGTCATACATGCCTGCCTGTCTGTTTAGTCAATTACAGGATGTGAAAAGCAATGACGGCTACTGACGGAGGTGTCAGGGGTCGGGGGCTGATCTGAAAGCTTCTCTGTGAATCCAAACAGGCAGACGGCGAGAGAGAGAGAGCCGGAGTCAAAGGTCACCGTGTCGCTCATTGTGTCCTAGCTGGATTAATAACAAGGCTTCAGCGCTCTCTCTCTCTCTCTCTCTCTCTCTCATACTCTCAGCTGTTTCTTCCGCCCACCCTACCACTCACCCTCCTCCTCCACCACCCACTGCACTCGGTGGCTTCTTCCTCTCTAAGGGCTTCTTAATGACTAACCTGTCAGGATTAACATCTCTCCCTATTTCACACTGTGCTATCCGGCTTCCTCCTCATCCTCTAATGAACAGTCTCGGCTCCAAGGACGGAGCAGTCGGAGGGTGAAGACGGATGGAAACACCCAGAACGACTACATCACTGCCGGGTTTCACATTTCAGGATTTCAGGCTAAAACTTCAAGCCAACCGTTTTGTTTTTTTTTGTTTTTTTTTGCTTTATTTCCTGTCTTTGTAGAATCTCTGACGCCTCCTGATGTTGACGACAACTTCATTAATCACTAGAACGTTCTAATGAATTGACCAGCCAGGCTCTATTGATCCCTGGGGTATCAGTGGGTCGTCTTTGTGAAGTCTGATACCTCCCTCTGAGTCTGTGGATCAAACATCACGAGGGAAGAGGAATATCTCGTAGAGAGCGCCTTAGTATTTTCTGAAGATTTTCCTGAAGCGGCCAGCGGCTGAAAGTACACCAACATACACCCATTAGACAAAAAGGCAAATCCCCTCCTCATCCACACACCAGTCTCAGCCTCTTCTCAGCTTGTGTTACACGTGTCACATTTATAGTAATAACGCTCCTTTCATCACAGGAATTAGCCTTATGTTACAGGTTGTCTTAAATGGGAAGAGCAGCTTACATCTTATTAAAGTGTTTCCATGGCTCCGACACTAAGGATGCTGGGGGATTTGGCATCCTTCCTCCAGACTGGATCGCTCAGATCTTTTTTCTAGGCTGAGGTTAGATTAGGCATTGATCTGACGGCTAATTTGATGCCACATTACTGCTGTGAAATTACAGCAGCGTGCAGCTGCCATTTAGGAACACGAGCCGGACAACTCCCCCTCCACTGCTCCCAAATCAGTTACGCAAATGAAGTTAAAAGCTGGGGCCGCGACAGTCAGAGGTGTAGCGCGAGGATTCAATTGTGAGTCGTCCTGTAGCGATAGCTTAGTGACATGGAGGCTAACACAACGAGGCGTTGAACACAAACACAGGGAGCGTCATTGAAGTGATGTGGTGGTTGTGATACTTCTGTTCTGTTTGGAGCACGTACTGCGTGACATTTGGAGTCGTGAGATTTACCTTAAATACCAGTAAACACCAACTCAGTGTAACAGTACTAGTAGTCAGAGAGTGATGCGTTTTACTGCGTTCCTGTATTAGCAACCCACCCAGATACTACTACTCATCAAGATTACAGTAGTACAACCAGTACTCTGTGAGCTGGAGAGTTTCATTTTTTGATAATTAAAGATGAGCATCATGATCACGAGGATGCTGTTAGCTGTGCTAAGCTAACCACACCATTGCCAGGAACTGACACGGGCTTTTACAAATGAAATCCCGACGTAGCAGAGCAGCACTGGAGCGATCGTATGGACTTGGTTGGTTGTTTGTAAAAACTGCGTGAGTTTTGGTCCTTGGCTGTGGTTTTTACAGCAGTGTACCAGAAAAACAAAGTACTTCAAAAAAAAAATACAGCTGGGTCTATGTTTAGACATTGACACATTATTTTTGCGATTTAAATGTTTAAACATTGACACATTATTTTTGCGATTTAAATGTGAAAATCCTGTTGAGCTCAGAAGAGATTCTGAAATGTTTTCACTAGACATTTTTTCTAAAGCTTAATAGAAATATTTTATTCTCTCTGGATCTTATTTTATTTTCTAAAGTTGTTCTGTTCCTCCAAAAATATGAAAAGGTCGGTCAATCATTGTTTTAATTGGCCGGTCATCACGCGTTTCGCGGCCGGTGTTTGACCACAGTCATTTGGTCGTAGACTTAAAGAAAATGTCATCTCTAACGTAGGGACAGTGTTGCAGTCACTGACGTTCATTATTATTACTGCTGTGTGTGTGTGTTTGCGTTGGTTGTAACTGTCTTATCAAGCGTTAATAATTGATGTTTTGTAACTTATTAATGAACCTCTTTAAGGTGCATAACATTATCACGTCATGAAATATTCAGTCAAGGAAAGTCCTGGAAAATATAAGCAGCATCAGAAACGTTAGACACTAATGTGACATGAACTGTTATAGGTTAGCATTATAACGACTTCTTGTTCTATCGCAATTCTGAAGCTAATTTTTCAAAGGCAGTATTCTATATCTAATACATACTGTATATTCATATATATGAGGGTATACAGTATATGTATATATTCATACATATAGTATATGTAGTATTAGTTTTTATACACCAGACTGAATCATCCCGTTTAGACATGAGACATTGTGCAAAACAATGTCATTATTTAAAAAAACCTTTACTTCCTGTTGCTACTTCAGAATAAAAGTCTGGCTGAAGTTTACCAGTTTAATGACGTTATTGTGAAGATTCAGCCCGAGGAGGTTAAAGCACAGAGTTATAGAGTTGTAGTATCTGACGTCTGACGTACGGCACGTCAGCTGAACTGGTAAAATACTGGATTAGTGTCAGTGGCCGGAACGATGTAGACCAGAGGCCCTCATTTGGTCCTCAGGCCGCATGTTGTCCATGGGTACCATACAGAATCTAAATAGAAATGTATAACATGGACATTTAAGTCTAATACGAGGGGAGCTTTGTGAAGCTCTGCATTGTGATACCCCCCCTACAGGAAAACAAACAAAATACAGGGTTTTTTTTTTATTTTAATAGACTTCTGCAGCTTTTCTATAAAATGACTGTTTTTTTTTATCTGACACTATCGTGTGAAAAACTTCTCTCCAGAGACTTCAGTCTCAGCATCATAAACCCCTGAAACATCTGTCCTTGAGTCACATCTTCATATTTATCCTAACATAGAGGCTTTAGAGACGTTATTTCACACGTCCTCGTCGCACTGTGATTAAACAAGGAGCTGCGTGGATCCAGACGCCGACTCTCCTCTGCCTCTGATCCGTTCACCACAGTCCAGGCACCGCTGAGATCCTCAGTCGTGTCTTACTGACATGAACTAAATCCCCGACTCTCTGCAACTCCCCCACCTCCCACCTCAACCCCCCTCTTCTTTCTATCTCTCTCTCTCTGCTGCACAGATATCACAAATCTGCACATGCACAAATACACACTGAGAGACTCTTCAAGTACAGAAGCAGCAGCAGCAGCAGCAACATCAGCAGCAGCAGCAGCATCAGCATTAGCATTAGCAGCAGCAGCAGCAGCAACATCAGCAACAGCAGCAGCAGCAGCACCAGCAGCAGCAGCAGCAGCAGCAACAGCATCAGCAGCCTCAGCAGCAGCAGCAGCAGCAGCATTAGCAGCATTATTAGCAGCATTAGCAGCATCTAACCCCTCCTCTCTCACCCTCTCACCCTCAGCCTCTCCTCGTCCCTCCTTTCTGCTCTCATGCTGATGCCCTGGTTGGGATTATGTGATGAAGGCTGTGTGCCGTACCCCCCCCCCCCCTGCTGTCTCCACGGGCCTTGTGCCTCCCAGTCCCTGTCTGCATGGCTGACTGTATTAAACATAAGCAGCTTTACCTGATAGGCCTCTATCCAGCTTTAATTACCGCAAACTCACAAAGTCAGCGGATGGCGCTGGTCGCCACCGCAGCTCCCGGCAGAACAAACAGGACAAAATCCGCTCAGCCGCCGGTCTGCAGACGGGGGTGTGAAAGGACAGGGACGATGTCCATGAGGAGGGAGTCAAAACGATGCTAATGATGTCGTCATTGGGATCGAAACAAGGTCCAAAAATCCAGAGATTCAAAGTCATTGTTGTTGTTATGTTTGTTGGTGTTTCCTCTGACTTCACACTCTTCACTGTAAGTCATACAGTTTAGGTCGAATCAAAGTTCTTTCTACAGGGTCAGAACCAACGTCTGTTATAACAAAGACGTGAAGATTTCACAGCTACAAAGGCGGCTTTGATGTACGGTAACAAACTGATACGCTGCTCATTATCTCTGCTCACAACGCTGCCCAGATGCAGAGTAAATGAGTTTAAATGCACAGAGAAATAAACAAAGAAATCATTCATTTCTAACATTCCAGAGTGTACAACGTTTGTTTAGTGAATTGACACAAAACCAGTGACTTTTAAACCTGGAAGTGGGTCAGTGATTTACGGTAAAACCCAGCAAAACCTTTGGCAAAACTCAGCTGTGTAACTCACAATGTGATGGAAAGATGGAGCAGGAACCGAGTACCACTTATATTGTGTACAGTAAAATAGTACTTCATATTAGTCACATATACTTTGTTATTTAGCAGTCAATACTAACGAAGAAAAAAAGAGAAAAAAAACAACAACTAAAAAATAAAATGTATAAGAATTGAAACTAAACGTTTCCTCCTGCAGTACTGCTGCTAACCCTCTAGGGGTCACAGCCTCTGTTTAGAGACTCTAATCAGGTGGAGTGAAAACACCTGTTTGCAGCTGCAGGTGGTTTTCTCTTTAAGACCAGCCCACAGCTGTGACTGGTCACTAACCAGGAAACAGGAAGTGTGTGTGTGTGTGTGTGTGAAGTGACCACAGTCAACATGGCTCCTAAAACAAAGTGAAGTGATGACAGAGGCAACAACAGCAGAAGAAAAACAACAGACAACAGAGACATTTTAACCAGATTCACTGCAGCAGACTGGAACTGAAGGAGCAACAACAACTCCACAAAGAAGAAGAAGAAAACTCCACAAAGAAGAAGAAGAAAACTCCACAAAGAAGAAAAAAAACTCCGCAAAGAAGAAGAAAAACTCCACAAAGAAGAAAAACTCCACAAAGAAGAAAAAAAAACTCTACAAAGAAGAAGAAACTCCACAAAGAAGAAAAAAAACTCCACAAAGAAGAAGAAAACTCCACAAAGGTAAGACTTGATGTTTTTTACTACTAACTGTTGTTGAAAAACTGCAGTATTTAGGTTGGTTCTCTCATCTGCTTATGCAACAATATTGTCTTTTGGGTAACTCTACAAAGAAGAAGAAAACTCCACAAAGGTAAGACTTGATGTTTTTTACTACTAACTGTTGTTGAAAAACTGCAGTATTTAGGTTGGTTCTCTCATCTGCTTATGCAACAATATTGTCTTTTGGGTTTTTTTTTTTTTTTTTTGTTTTTTTTTGTCTTTTATGTGGTTTTACAGTTTATTTCAATGTTTCCAAAACTTTTGTACCAGCGCCCCCTATTGTAGATAGATTTTTTTCTATCAATTTTTCTTCAGATAGAATTCACAGGAAATGTTCCCACTGAAAAACTAAATAAGCACATATTGAATTTAATCAATCTGGGGTCATGCCACTTCTGTAGTAGCTGCTGCTGTGTCCTCTTGGGGTCCACGCCCCCTACTTTGGGAACCTCTGCTTTGGTTTGTTTCCTGTAACTTTAATGTTAATGGCTCAGTGATAAAGGTGAATGATTGGTTGTGAGGTGGTCGTTTTTGGGATGGTCCGACTTCACGGGGTCGGTGTTGTCTGTCCTGCGATGTTGAAGCGCTGACAGATGAGACACAGCGGGACGGCCCCATGTGACCTCAAACTCCCAGAAGCCCTTCAAGCTCTTAATCCAGGCTGTGTGGCTCTGTCATAACAGTCCTGTAAAGCCAACATTCTTAGAGAATTAGGGGCCATTTAAGTTGTCCCTCTGACAGGAAGACCACGATGACCATACAGCGTAATTGCTCAGAGAGGACGTTAGGTTGTCACAGCGCTTTGCCATAAATTAATTATCCTAAAGCGCTTAGTGGAAGCCACTACAAAGGCTTACACGGAAGGGAAGTGGATGGGTGGAGGTAAGAGTGCAGTCATGAGTAGAAGAGGAAAAAGTGAGTGTCTGTAAATTCAGGCACTTGTTAAGAGTCTCTCAAGGCGGCGCGGCTAAGTTATGGTCCGCTCCTCTGGATATAGTGTCCTGTCTTTGGACTGCACTTCTGCGAAAGACGACGGAGAAACAGAAACCAACTGCAAAACAGGTTGTCATTCATCACTGTCTGATGAATGTGCAGTAGTTCATTAAAATACTGTGAATAATACAGGCTAATACTACAGTGATGTTACTGTAAAAATGTATTTCTCATATATATATATATATATTTATATATTCATTAAATAATAATTTATCTTTGTTCGTCAGTGCGACGTTGATTAGAAAAACAATTAAATACGCTTCCACTAGGTGGCAACAGAAACAAGAAGAGACTCAGAACTGTAAAATAAGTCTTTGTTTGACTCTTTCTTCAATTCCTAGTGTTCAACCGAACAGGTCTACATGCAGGTGGACTGGAAGATCATTTTACGACACATACTTTTCATGACATTTTTGTTTGATGGCCAGTCTAGGGATTGTATGTAAATAATGTGACGTGACTCAAAAAAGGTTGAGCTGCCATTTTTTTCCT